GTTGGCTAACACTTTGATTGCTTATTTCAAATCATAATAGCTACTCAGAAGTAATTAGATGTTGTTTGTATTAAGAACGATTTATAATTTGGATTTGTCACTAAATTGGTTTCTTTTATGATTAACATAGTGACCTCCCCATACAAATTTTCATGGTAAAAAAACACCAGCCTATGACAAACACCACCAACCACATCAAATATTAAACACTCCAAATAAATGACTACCACCAAAACACAGAAATCTTCAGGTCTTTGTTAATCAGAGAAAGTCCTTTTTTTTTTCTTCTTTTCCCCCCATGTACTGCATTAATTCTGTATTAAATTGAGGTAGGATTCTGATCTTATGTAAATTGTGTTTATACTTCTGAATTCTATTTGGAGTAAATAATAAGAAAATGAAAGAAATTAAGTCTACCTAATAGCAAATTACCATATTTACCAGTAGAAACTATTGTCTGTCCCCAAGCTATCCAATCAGGATATGAATCACTACCCTATTGTTTCTGAAGGCACAGTAATATTGTGTTACATTGGTGTATCACAATTTGTTTAGCCAATCTCCAATAGATAACCATCTACTTTGTTTCAATGCTTTGCCACCCACCAAAAACACTGCTATAAATCTATGTAATATATTCTTACACATATGTAATAGTATATGAGACATTTCTGCCTGTCTTTTTTGAGGTATATGCATATGCATGAAATTTTTGGATTAAAAAAAGTATCTACAGTTTAATCCCTTTTTTTAAAAGTGTAATTCAAATTACTTTCGAGAGGATTTGGGCCAATTTATAGATCCCCCACAAGTGTAAAGCATACCTGTCTTTCTGAAACCCCTTCAACATTGACTTATTCCCATTTTTGAAATGAAACTTCATTCATTTTGATTTACATTTATCTCAGTTATTTGGTGAGGGAAGTTTCCATATTCAGGAATTTCTACAATCTATAACTATTGTGGTTTCATGATTTTTGTGATGGAATTGTCTCAAAGAATTCAGAGTCAGACCACCTCTAATCCAAGTATAGGCATTTATTGAGATTGACGCTTCTCATGAAGTGGGCTAAGTTCCTAGAGGAACCAGCAACTTTAGTGAAAGCAAGATGGATTTTTATAGGGTAAAGATGCAATTACTTAACAGAAATTATTCATTAAGGGATTATGTAATAGGGGAAGATTCCCAGCCTCAGTAGAAATGTGCATGCCATTACCCACAATGCATACAGAAAAACCCATTGGGGGGGTATGTATGTATGATAATGATATTATAATTATCCTCTCTATGTCATAAGTTCACCTAAAGGACAGCTTTTGCTATTACTAGGCAGGTGCTTACTATGGGAAAGTCCCTTCTATTGTTTTGGGGTCTACATCCTGCTTGGCCATCCTGGTGGTGGTGTTTTTTGATTGGCTGAGTATTGTGGTCCTGTCTCAGACCAGATGGCAAGGACTAATATAAGGAATGGCTCTGGGGGCAGTGGCTAACTAGAGGCAGTGGCTGGGATGACATTACATGGTCATGCTTCCTGTTTCTGTGAGAAATATGAGTTCATGGACATACCTGTTGTTCTAATGAGCAGTGAGGCTTATGTGAAGAAATTAGGATATTGAGTGGGGAGGTGGGCAGGGGCTAGGTAGGGGCAATGGGCTTACTGTTCAGTGGGGCCTAAAAGAAAGTTAGAATATTAGGGCTGGGGACAGCTTTATTAGGATTCCATCATCATCATCAAACAAATCACAATTTTAATCACAGTGTTTATTCGTAGAATAGGACAAAATTGTCATAAACTATAGCTTCAAGGTTTAAAGTTCTATATATAAGAAAGAATTCCTTATAGAATTATTAGATGCTAAAGCAGAAAAAATACAGCTGCCTTCTGAACTATCTTTGCCAGTATTAAAGTATGATAAAGATTCTTATGTGTTGTACGTAATTTATGTGATACATGGCCTAACAAAGAGCTAAAGCCTTCAAATTCCTTATGTGATATATATTTAGTCCTATAACCATCTTCAATGATGACTATATAAGTTGGCTGTGTCTACAAGCTTCAAATTCATGAATAATTATAAAACTGTTTGCATGCATTTTATTTAGAAGTAAATAGCTGTGAAAGTCTTTTAAGCCATCACATTTCCAGAAGGTGCCTCCAAGTATTTAATGACTTGAAGAAGTAAATGATAGTAAATAGATAGTAAATGTAATAAAGTGAGCTTCTCTGGCAGGTTGGGAATAGAAGGGGGAATCTTAGTTTGAAATAATATAAAAAAGTTCAAAACAGAAAGCATTGGTGGCTTTGACTATCAAATTCAGCTCACTGATGCAGAATAGATAAGATTCGAACGGATCAGATTAAAAAACTGCCTTCATCTTGAAGTTGGAGAATTGCCTGGGACACTGAGATGTTCAGTGGCTTGCCAAAGATTTTGCAGATAGTGTTTCAGATAGGACTGAAACCCATAATTATTCTCTGGAAAGAAGGCTATGCCTTTGCAATAACTACGAATCCACTGAAAAAGAAAAAAAAAGAGTTATAAAAATCAATTAATCCAGTGATCAGACTAACACCTACACTTAAATGATATTTTTTTAAACAAAGTCTTTTAAACTTTTAAACAAAGTCGTTTTCGGCTGCCTTTTGGGGGCCATTATTACAGCTCTTCAGAATCACTGCTCTCCCCCCCCAGGGAAAGTAGTGATAAAAGTAGTGGGTCCAAAATCCAGGATATTGTTCATCCAACCTAGGTGATGACCAGTGCTGAAATTACAGACACTGCTGAAACAGCAAAGATTGGATTTAGCTCAACGTCTTGAAACAATGAACTGAATTTCATTTTAAGTGGCTACTAAGTGCCAGGCACTGAGGATACTAGATTTGGACTCAGAGGACCCAAGGTAACTCCTGGATCTGACACTTACTGTCTGTGTAACTTTGGGAGAGCCATTTAAACTCTCATCTATAAAAGGAGATGAAACAGTTCATGCTTTCCAAATGTATATATGTATGTGTATATATGTATACATATAGGTATATATGTGCATATGTATATACACACATACATGCATGCATGCACACACACATATATATGTATAAAATATGTATGTATGTGTGTGTATATATATACACATGGAAGCAGTTACCTGAAGGATAAATGGCCAATGGATATAAACTAATAGTTATTAACACTATTGCCATATATTGAGAACCACATGAAAAATTGCTTATTTAAAGAAAATTGTTATTCCAAGTCAATAAAAGTTTATGATATTTAGAAAATATTCTTAACTTTGATGTCAATTTCAATATGAACTCATAATTTTTGTGTAATATATCCCTTTCTGGCATATTTACTATCAGCTTTATACAGTTTACATTGTAATAATGTGTTCATTGAGGTGGCTCAGGGACGCTAATATATGTATACACATTTGATTTCTTTTAACCTGAATGACCTTTAAGTGAAGAATCCCAGAACCTTTTGGCATATATATCAACTATTTAATAAATCAGATTGGTTTTTTTACTACTAATTAATCATGTATTTATTGAAGTATTTTACTTGGTACTTTGTTTCTTTGGGAAACAGAAACATACACAAAATGTGTACTCTGCCCTCTGAGCAGTTAGCATCTAGTTATTGAGGCAAAATTGAAATAAATGAAAAAAGAACAAATATAAAACAATATATACAAATGATAAATTATCTCTTTTAGAGAGTTATATGGTTATGAATCATGGAATACCATAATTTCTAAGGAAAGAAGGTTGGTGAGTATAAATAGAACAAATGATGTGACCAGTGACAAAATGCTTGCAAAAGGTGACAGGAAAGATATAATCAAGGAAATAAATGATGATTAAAAATCATTTGGTAGGTGTAACTAGGTGGCACAGTGGATAGAGCACCGGCCCTGAAGTCAGGAGGACCTGAGTTCAAATCCGGCTTCAGACCAAACACTTGACACTTACTAGCTGGGTGACCCTGGGCAAGTCACTAACCCCAATTGCCTAAAAAAAAAAAAAAATTGGACCATTTGTATAGTGAGAGTAAGGGATAACAGATAGATAGGGCACATGCTGTGTTAGATTTAGAGATCCAAAGGAAGCGTCGTCCCTTCCCTAACACCATTCTTCTACATATTGAGTGAACGTGGAAGATTTGTAGATCAAAGAATCTTAAAGCAGTGAGGCTTTTAATTCTACCGAGTAACCCTTGAGGTAGTGCAATCTAATCTATTTTACAAATAAGGCAACTGAAGCTCAGAGATTTTAAGTGACTTGTCCAAGATCACACAGGTGAGTAGTATAGCTGAGATCTGACCTTTGACTTTAAATCTAGCAGCATTATTTTAATAGACATGGTTGTAAGGAGAATACAGATTCATCATAGTATTGAATTACCAAAGTATATATAAATTTCAGAAAATTAGGTGATGAATGAGGGTTAAATCATTTAGGAAATGCTTTTTGGATGTTGGATATTAGTACTTGAACAAAGATAATATAACTAAAATAATTAGCTTTTTTGATTAAACTTTGACATATAAATGTTGATATACTATATTTCTTCATTTAGATTATAAGCCCTATTAAGGCAGGGACTATGTTATATGCTTTTCTGTGTCCCTATGGCATCTAATACTTTCCCCTCTACAGGATATTGACAGGTGAGACATGAAGTGTCTACGATTCCTGTTAAATGGAGAAACTCCTTCAATTTATGTATATCTAAATTAGACATAGAAATTACATGAGATTTATATTGAAGTACTTACCCAGGTTCATAAAGTAAGCTAGGATTTGAACCCAATGATCAGCTCTCCATCTATGTCACAATGCCTCTATATCATTGAAGTTGCACATAATGTACCTTTAATATATTTATTGAGCTGAATTTGATATTTACAACCACCAATGGTTTCTTTTTTGAACTTTTTTATGTTATTTCAAAAATCATTCCATTGATAAAACATTTTAAAATTTTATTTCTAGGGGACAAGTGCAAAGCTACTGAATTCAGCAAGATGAAAAATAGGTTCTTAGATCAACAAAACCAGAAGTATGTTACACAGGAAAATGAAAACCCACCAGAAGATGAAATAGTTCGGAAGAAGCTGCTGGTGGATCAAATGTTTAAATATTTTGACTCTGACAACAATGGACTTGTAGACAGTAATGAACTATCTCAGGTAAGATCAAGGAGTGAGTGTGTGAGTGTGTGTGTGTTTTTATGATTAGGACAATAGGAGTACATATAATATGTATATATATGTTTATATATGTAATATATACAGAGTACATATATGATATATCATTCCTAGATAACTAAATCTGTTTATATTCACTTTTATAAAATCATTAAGTATATTAGTTTAGTCAGTATGATTAATCATATGATTATTGATTAGATTCATTATAGTTTTAATATTAAATATTTATTTCACATTATTTAAAAATTGGTTATCCAAATGTGGAAAGTTGGATAAATATTAGTTTTAATATTTGAGTATCTAGGACATCCAGTTCTCTAAATATTCTGAATTTTTGATTCATTTAAAAAGCATGTATTTTAAGCTTCTACTCTGTATAAGCTTCTACTCTGTGGTACACAAAGGGTATGTGAGGATAAGAGTGTGAGAAGAGAGTAACAATATGTATTTAATCTAAAAAGATAGGTTGGAATCAGATTGTGAAATATTCAGTTCATTGTTACCAGAATCAGGGGAACCATTTAGGAGTCTAACTCTCCAGTTCATTTCTAAGGTACTGGCAGATTGAACAAAGGTTAACAGTGGAAATGAGAAGAAAGAATTCAAGAACTATCATATAAGAAGAATATATCAAATTGGGTACTGGAAGGATCCAAGATGACTTTGAGGTTATTAATTTGTAGGGTTAGGATAATAATGGTACCTGAAACTTGCACCCCACCCCTCCAAAAAAAAGAATTTTGGTATCTACAATGTCTACTGATGAGGATGCTTGTGTATATTTCAATGCTCTAAAGATCTGTAATTTTGTCACTGTTGGCAAACCCACCAATGACAGAGTACAATGTCAGGCAGTGTGGTGTAGTGGAAAAAGTACTAGACCAGGGTGGGGAACCCGCAGCCTCGAGGCCACATGTGGCCTTCTAGGCCCTTAAGTGTGGCTTTTTGACTGAGTCCAAGTTTTCCAGAACAAATCCACTTAATCAAAAGATTTGCTCTGTGAAGTATGGATTCAGTCAGAGGACTGTACTTGAGGACCTAGAGGGCCACATGTGGCCTCAAGGCCACAGGCTTCCCATCACTGTAACTAGACAATATCGGGAGACATATTCAAGTTCTGACTCATTTCTAGCTGTATCATCATAGAAAAGTCAATAAATACTCAGAACCTCAGTTTCCTCATTCGTAAAGTAAGGAAACAATACTTGTACTGCCCATGGTACAAGAGTCTTTAAAAAAAAAGTTTTGTAGACCTTAAGCACTTACATAAATGTAGGTAATTATTATTGCTGCCCTTTCCAGAACATAGATGAGTTTCTGTTCATGAGTTTCATCTCTTCTTTGTCTCTCTGTCTCTCTGTCTCTCTCTTTCTGTCTCTCTCTCTCTCTCTCTCTCTCTCTCTCTCTCTCTCTCACACACACACACACACACACACACACACACACCCCAAGATTGAAGTTGCAGCCTACATGGATGACAGTTGTATTGATAGGGTAGTTCTCTTTTTTAAAAAAGGCAGTGTCATACGGTGGAAAGAACGCTGTGTTTGTAGTCAGATAATTTGGTTTCAAATCCTTCTGCTACCTGTGTGATCCTAGATAAGGAACTGAATCTAGCTGTTCTGTAAAATGATGGAATCAGATTAGATCACTTCTAACATTCTTTTCAGTTTTAAAACTTTGACCTTGTCTACAAGAGAAATGGGAGAAGTAAATGTGAGGCAGAAATATTGACAGTTGAAAATGATATTTGCTGCCTTCCCTTACCTGATGAGTATTGAGTAAGCATGGTTATATAGGAAAGTAGTGGAGGATAGTTTAGCAACAATCCCACCAGCAGATGAGACAAACATTTTTTTTTCCATTGCTAAATATAGCACTAAAACATGAAATCTGACCCATAAGGAGATGTCTTGAAAAAAAAAAAGATGGATAATTCAAAAGATGCTAATTTCTCAAATTATGAAATGTCATATACAAATTTTAACAAACATAATTAAAGCTCATATTTAAAACAAAAATTAATAATTATTTACTGTCATTATAATATTGTCATATTATTTAGGATAGTTCATTTAATCCTTTATTTGGTATTTGTGAGGGGTAGGTGATTTTTTTTTTATGAAAGTTATTTATTTTTAGTTTTCAACATTCACTTCCATAAGAATTTGAGTTCCAAATTTCATCTCCATCTCTCCCTTCCCCCCACCCCAAGATATGGCATGTAAATTGATGTTGGCTCAACATATACATTCATATTAAACCTATTTTCACATTAGTCATGTTGTAAAGAAGAATTAGAATCAAAGGGAGAAACCATGAGGTAGGAGAAACAGAGAAACAGAGAAAGAGAAAGAGAGAGAGAGAGAGAGAGAGAAAGAGAATGCAAATAATGTGCTTCAATCTACATTCAGACTCTGTAGTTCTTTTTCTGGATGTTGACAGAATTTTCCATCATAAGGTCTTTGGAGATGTCTTAGATCCTTGTATTGCTGAGAAGAGTTAAGTCTATCAATATTAGTCATCGCACAATGTGGCTGACACTGTGTACAACATTCTACTGGTTCTGCTCACATCACTAAGTATCAGACCATACAAGTATTTCCAGGTTTTTCTGAAGTCCACATGCTCATCATTTCTTATAGCACAGTAGTATTGCACTACATTCATATACTACAACTTGTTCAGTCATTCCCCAGCTGATGGGCATCCTTTCAATTTCCAGTTCTTTGCCACCACAAAAAGAACTGCTGCAAATATTTTTGTACATGTGAGTCCTTTTCTCATTTGTATGATTTCTTTGGTATATAGTCCTAGAAGTAATATTTCTGGGTCAAAGTGTATGCATACTTTTATAGCCCTTTTGGGCATAGTTCCAAAATGATCTCCAGAATGGTTGCAACTCCACCAACAATGCATTAATGTTCCAGTTTTCCCACATCTTCTCCAGCATTTATCATTTTACTGTTTTGTCATGTTAGCCAATCTGCTAGGTGTGATGTGGGACCTCAGAGTTATTTTGATTTGCATTTCTGTAATCAATAATGATACGATAGCATTTTTGAGCGTTTTTTTATATGACTATAGATAGTTTTAATTTCTTCATCTGAAATCTGCCTGTTCATATCAATTGGGAAAGTAGGTGATATTTTAATAGAATTTTGGATAATTAGTTGAAATCTAACTTCATGAGAATTATCTATCAGCTGTATGGGATTTCAAATCCAGGAAGAGTCTACAAAAATTAAACATTTTCATCTGCACTGAATGAAGCACTGGGGTTACAAATACACTTACTGGAGATAATATCAATCAATAGATGTTTATTAATTGCCTGCTATGAGTCAGGCACAGGGCTAAGTGCTGAGGGATACAAAATGAGATAAAAGACAATGCCTGCCATCAAGGAGCTTACATTCTTTTGGGGGAGACAACCCACTCTATAGTATATACAGGATAAACAGGTAGTAATTAATAGAGGCAAAGCACAAAAAGAAAGAGGGGTTATAGAAGGTTTCTTGTAAAAGAAGGAGCTTTATTTGGGACTTAAAGGAAGGTAGAGATGTTAGTAAGTGAAGTGGAATATGGGGTGTCTTCAGGTGTGGGGAACATCTGGAGAAAATGCCTGAAGCAGAGAGATAGAGTGTCTTATTCATGAAACTGTCAGGACTCCAGTGTCAATGGATTGAAGGGTATCTGTAGGGGAGTAAGGCATAAGAAGGCTAGGGGAAGGGGTTTGGTTAATGAAGGCCTTGCTTTGAATACCAAAAGGAGCATTTTGTATTTGATCCTGGAGGCAATAGGGAACTACTAGAGTTTATTTAACAGGGGTGTGGTGGTGGGGTGACATGGTTGGACCTGCACTTTAGGAAAATCACTTTAGTGGCTGAATGAAGGACAAGGATGTATGTATATATGTATGTATGTATGTATGTGTGCATGCATATATATTGGATAAATACAGGGAGAATAAAAGAAAGGAGAACAGAAAAAAATCTTTCAACTGTTTATCTAATTTAGATAACTTAATCTACCTTAGATTAACTTAAAATCACTATTCTATTGATTGCCTTATCTCTGACTTCCTTAAGTAGGATGAAATCAAGGTAATTTGGCTCTTGAACTCCTGGCCTCCACTTCATACCAATATTCTACACATGTTAGGTCTCAATATATTTTTATTTCTTACAAGAAGAAGGATTATGTTCACAACTATGGACAGCAGATTTTTAAAAATTGTTATCAATGTGTGAACCTAAGTTAAATTTATCATCTGGAGTCAAATCTTAAAATAGAAAATGGAAGGTCTGGTCCCTGGGAAGGCAAAATAATTAAACTAAGGGATTTTGAGCTGTATTGGAACTTAGAATTTATCTAGTGTGTAACTTCCTTATTTTACTGGTTGAACTTTGAGGCCCAGATATGTGAAGTGACTTATCAAAAGTTACAGAGACATTACATAGAAGAATTGGGATTTGAATCCAGCTTCAAATCCAGTACTCCTACTACATCAAGAGTTAGGGCCTCTTCCCTTCGCGTTTCTAGAATTTCACTGGACACTGTTTCTTCCTTTTGATCCAACAGCCAATCCCCATCTCTTCTACCTTGTTACTTACAGATATAAACAACAGGGAGATTTTCTGATGATTTGTTGTATTAAGTCTCTGTAATTTATTTAGTTCTGTGAGCATAACCAGTTCCACCAAATTCAACCAACTGCATGTCCATTTCTTTATAAGAACTGATTTGTAAGCTTTTGTAATCTGCTATTTTACTGTTAAGGAACATATCCTTCACTTATGTGGCATGGTATAGTGGAACTTTGAGTACTGGTACTCATATTTACTAACATTATCCAATGTTAGTTTATTACAGTAAGCTAATCACTTAGACTTTCTTAGATTCTTATCACATTTGTAAAGTAATTAGTTATAGTTATACTGGCAAGTAGTAAGCACTATACACATGTTAGCTATTTA